TGCCCTCTCGGCGCCCGTTCCCTATCCACTGACGCGAATATAACCGCCAGTCTTCTTGCCTTTTCTCAATACCCTCCACCACGAGCGGTGACACTAACTCCAAGGCCGAGGGACGGATTACTCATCTGTTGTAAAGTTACATACTGTCTTTCACTATTATGTCCCAGATCTGTATTGCTAAAAGCCACTGGGTGTTGTGAAACGTCTCTACAATAAAGATATCCAATGTTGCATAGTGTCTTAACTTTCATATTGTCGGTATTTTATACCTGTCTTGCACCAACTTGTCAGACACTTGTAAAAAACAACATCATGGAATCTTGGTTCAGAGGATCATCTACAAACCTTCTTCACGCTTCTGCAACTAACCCATCTCTGGGAAGATTCCTACTCCACTGGGAATCCGCCTCCCAGTGACTGCCTCGTCTGCTGCCAGTCCCTACCCACAGACGGCGTATTATAACCGCCAGTCCGTCTTTGCCTTTTCTCAGAGTCCTCCTCCACCACGAGCTGTGAACACTAACTCCAAGGCCGAGGGACTGATTACCTCATACTTTGTTTGTATATAAGTATCTACTGTCTTCCTATTATAGTCCTATAATCTGTATTGAAAACTCCACTGAGTTTGGCGAAACGTCTACAATAAGATATCCAGATGTTGCATATGTGTCTTAACTTTCATAATTGTCGGTATTTTAAAACTTCTTGCACAGTCTTAAAACTTTGTAAGTTGTGAAAAGAGAGGTCAATTCACCCGGAGAGTGAGTGGAGATGAGAGCTTCCTTGCCGCCTGGCACGTGAACAAAGCTATCTTTGTGCATACCCAACAATGCCATGTGGGGGCGTCCAGATTTATTCTATATTGCAAACTACCACCGAGACCCTTTTTTTCTTCTTTGTTTTCCCCCCTTGTTTTGTCAATTAAATTTTTTATTTTCCATTTTTTTTTTTATATCTCTCAGATGTGGCCACCAGCCTTCTTGCTTTAAATTGACGGTCATTGTTATCATAATCAGTCAGACATCAGTAAGTCAACATGTCATTTCATTGTCACCAATAAGTCATCAGTCTTAGTTAGTCAGTCAAGTCATTCAGTCAGTCTCAGTCAATCACATCAGTAAGTCCGTCAGTCATTCAGTACGTCAATCAATCATTCAGGAAGTCAGTCAAGTCATTCAGTAAAGTCAAGTCAAGTCACTCAGTACAGTCAAGTAAAGTCGAAGTCAGTCAAGTCACATGCATTAAGTCATTCAGTCATTCAGTAAGTCAGTTAAGTCACTCAGTAAGCCAGTCAAAGTTACTCAGAATCATCAAGTCATTCAGCAGTCCTGTCAGTCCCCAAACTCTTGCGTTACCCTTATTCTGTGTGACAGAAGTAACACTTCAGTATACAGCTCCAGGTTATTCTCTTGTCTATTTTTTTTTTTTTTTCAACGAGTTCGGCCATCTCCCACCGCGCTAGGTGACCCACCAAGGCAGGTGACCCCCGAGGCAGGGTGACCCACAGAGAGGCAGGATGACCCCACTGCGGCAGGGTTGACCCACCGAGAGGCAGGGTGACCCACCGAGGCAGGGGCCCACCAACAGCGGGTGACCCACCGAGCAGTGACCCACGAGGAATGAACACTCGTGGCTGGGTGACCCACCGAGGCAGGGGGACCCCACAGAGCAGGGTGACCCACCAAGCAAGGGGTCACCTGAGACAGGGTGAACCCAAAGAAGAAATCCCCAAATGAAAATACTTTTCATCAGTCATCACACTTTCACCTCACTCACACATAATCACTGTTTTTTGCAAGGGCTCAAGACAACAGTTTTAGAAGCATATATGTACTCATACTAAAGATACACAACTCCTCCCTCCAAACGCTATATCGCAACAACCCCCCTTCAGATGCAGCATACATTGTATTTTTTTTTTATTCTTTCCATTTCCCGGACTCAATCTGGCTAAATAAAAAAACTGTTTCTCCTTTGAATCCCTAACCTAAATATTAAACCTGCTCACACTCCACAGAGCGACAGTCCCAAAGACCATTCGCCGCCATTCACTCTATCGAACAAGCTCACCACGGGGGGGGCCGCCTGAAGTCAAAGCCCTCGCCCACAAAACCTCCCAAAACCCCTCTTTCCAACCTTTTTGAGGACGCGACTCCGCGTACCCCGCCTTCCTTCCCCTACAGATTTTAATCTCTCCATGTCATTTTACTTGATCTGATTCTCTGTAAAGACCAAACCACCTCAACAACCCTCTTCAGCCCTTTCTGACTAACACGTTTATTACATAAGAAACATAAAACATAAGAAAGAAGAAACACTGCAGCAGCCTACGGACCCATCAGAGCAGTCCATGTCCCCCCCCGGATGAGACAATGACCACCCCCGGAATTTAATCACTTGACCCACCCCTCTGGCATCCCCACCAAGATGAAGCACTGTTACCAGACCAGCAGCACAAAGCTAGTCGTGTCCAACTCACACCCAACCCACACTCACTATCTGTGATTTAATCTAACCATTTTTAAAACTACACAACGTTTTAGCATCAATTCCCTTACTCGGAGCTTGTTCCACTCACCACAATACCAATTACAAACCAGTGCTTTCCTATACCTTCCGAATCTAAATTTTCCTACTGAAACAAAATGCTGCAAGTCCCTGTCTTGGAGCGGGAGAAATTTGCAGTCACACTATTTACATCCCCTTTATTTAATCCTGATTTCCATTTATTACACCTCGATCATATCCCCCTAATTCTACGCCTTTTGAGAGAGTGCGCAGATCAGGCCCTCAGTCTATCCTCATAGGAATATTTCCTGATACATGGGATCATCTTTGCATCCTCCTTTGTAACATTTTCCATACATTTAATATCCATTCTGTATTACGGTGACCAGAACAGCATCATAGTCTAAAAAGAGACCTAACCAGGATATATGGAGAGTTGAATAACACGAGGACTTCTATTAATTATACCTCTAGTATGAACCAAAATCTGTTAGGCTTTATTGCAAACACTAATGCACGGTGTCTTGGTTTAAGGTTACAGCTAACCAGAATCCTCCACCCACACCTAAATCGCCATTCCCAATCATGTATAATAAAATCTACATCTATTTAGTTTATTGTGGCTGGTTATTTAACTGTGCCAACATTTAGAAACTTTCATTTGTCATAGATAAACTGCAGTCTGCTCACCTTCCTCCGACCATTGCGTCAGTCTATTCAAAATCATCCTGAAGTGCTCTAATGCCTCATTAGAATGGAATTGATGCTATTTTGTGTCATCAGCAAATTTTTGATCCTTATGTGCGCTATTTATTCTCTCATACTATGTCATTTATGTTAAATTGTGACAACAATGGCCCAAACACTGGCCCCTGAGGAACACCGCTTGTGACGATGCCCCTTTTCGGATTTCCCCCATTTTTATCAAACTCTCTGCTGTCCTAATTTGTCACCATGCCCTCTCTACCCAGGAAAAAATTTCTCCTCTATTCCGTGTGCCTAAAAAAAAAAAGTTTCCCTCAAGCAACCGTTGTGGAACACTATAGAAATCGTACTGAAGTCCATATACACAATAATCATATTCATTACCAAGAGCTACCGCCTCAAACACCTTAGTGAAAATGTAATTAACGTTCGTAAGACAGGAACGCCTTTGGTAAAACCATGTTCATATCATTAATCAATCTGATGTGCTTGTCAAGATGCTACGAATTACTTTCGGCAAATATTGATTCCATAAAATTTTTTCCCACTATGGAGGTAAGCTTAATGGTCTATAGTTCGAAGCCAAGGACCCTCCACCTGGCCATGTAAATAGGTATTACATTTGCCATTTTCACTTATCATCACTATGCCATGTTAAGTACATCTGAAAAGATTACCAAAGGTAGCTAAGCTCCTCTTACCATACCTTAACACCCTTGCAAACAGTTCATCAGGTCCTGGGGATTTGTTGGTTTTAGTTTCTCCAATTGTCTAGACCATGTCACTAGTTACTGCCAATTGTACATTAGTTTTTATTACATCCTGTTCTACATATTCATTATTGCAGAGGCCTGTCACAGACTGGCCCATGGGGGCGTTGACCCCCGAACTCTCACCATGGTAAACTCCAGTATATCGCAGTATTTCCTGAGGTGAAAACTGAAGGAATAGTATTTTAAATTTCTCACAAAATATCCTATCACTGTCAGTGATCTGACCAGGTTACTCTAATTGGGCCTAATCTTGAGTCCCAATCTTACTTCTTATACGTAGAAAGAACCCTTTGGTTTAGTCTTCGAAGTCCCTTGCGACCTTAGCCTCATAATCCCTAGGTAGTAGGTTTGGTAACAGCAACCACCCCCCAGAAGTACTACCATCCTGGCAGATACTGTGAAACACAAACCTGTAACTGTTTTGGGCTTGATGGTAGATTGCTGGTTTCTTTCTGTCTCATAAACACCTAGATAACAGGATATCTTGCTATCTACATACACTTTCGTCACACTTCACAGCACGCAACATGCATATATATATACATACATCTAGTTTTTTTCTCCTTTTATCAAATTAGCTCTTGTTCTTCTTTATTTCTTCTATTGTCCATGGGGAATTGAAAACAAATCTTTCCTCCTTAAGGGCCATGGCTTGTCGTATAAGCGACTAAAATGCCGGAGCAATGCTAGTTAACCCTCTCCTGTAGACATTTACTAAAAAACAGAAGAAGAAAAACTTTATAAAACTGGATGCTTAATGTGCTGATGTAGGCGATGAAAAGAAACAGACTGATTGCTGAATGTTATGAATGAAAAGACGTTGGATGTCCTGGCCCTAAGCGAAACAAAGCGGACGGGGGTAGAAGTTCAGTGGGGGGAAATAAAATGGGATTAAATCAGGAGTAACTGAAGAGTTAGAGGCAAAGAAGGGGTAGCAGTAATGTTATAATATCAGTTATTGGAATATAAAAGAGAAATATGAATGTGTAAATTCAAGAATTATGTGTATTACAGGTAAAGTTGGAGCGAAAGTGGGTCATAATACGCGTGTATGCACCTGGAGAGAGAGGAATTGCAGAGGAAGAGGACAGAGCAGATTTTTGGAGATATAGTGAATTATAGGAGCCTTAGAACCACGTGAGAGAGTAATTGTGGTAAGGGACCGTGAATGCTAAAAGTATGAAGAAACAGTTTAGAGATGGGTGTGTAGTAATTGGGGGGTCCAGGTGTAAATGATAATTGGGCGCCCTTGATTGGAACTTTATAGAAGAGGGGTTAAGTTATAGGAATACCAAATTTGTAAGAAAATAGAGGAAAAATAAGTATACAAGATAAGATGTAGTGGCAAATGACAGTATTTGTTGTGATATCTGTGCGTTGGTAGATAGAATAGACTGTTGAGTAGACTCCAGATGTACAGTTTTATTAGAGGGGCCACAGATATATCACGCCCTTTATTCCTAGTTGTAAGCTACACAGAGAGTAAAAAGTAGATGGATACAAGGAGAATAGAAGCAGTCAGGGAAGAGAAGGTGAAGTTTATAAACTAAAAGAAGGAGGCAGTAGGGTAAGAATAAACAGCTATATGGAGGATAGTAAGGGCTAATGAGAGCCTAGGCAATGGGTCTGAAAGTATGGGAGGTTTAAACATGTAGTGTTTAGAGTGTTCAGCAGATAAGTGTGGTGGTACAGGAAAAGTGTGGGTCAGGAGGGAAGATGTAGCGATTAGGTGGAAATCGATTGATGTAAAGAAGAAGTATGGAGAAAACGTTACAATATGAGAATTTTTTACAAAGTAGAAGTGATGCAAGTAGGGAAAGAGTATATGAGAAAAAGAGAGGGTTGAAGAGAGAGGGGAGAATCAATGTAAAGAAGAGAGCAAATAAGAGAGTGAGTGAGTACTGTTATCAACAAATTTTGTGAACAAAAGAAAAAGTTTGAGTGAGATTTAACAAGTATAAGAAAGCCTAGAAACAAATGATTTGTCATTAAAAATAGGAGAGAGAGAGTTATTAAATGGAGAGTTAGAGGTATTTGGGAAGATGGAGGGAATATTGTTGAGGAATTGGTTAAATGTGAATGAAGATAGGGAAGCAGTGATTTCGTGTATAGGCAAGGAGAATAACATTTTGTAGGAGTCTGAGGAAAACTCATTGTGAGTGTGGGGGAAAGGGTTCGTGAGGCAGTATGTAAAATGAAAGGGGGTAAGGTGTCACTGGGAGGATGGGAGATGGGAAAAAGGATAGAAAATGTTAAAAGCAGTGGATATAGTTTTTTTAGGAGTGGTTGTGCAATTTATTTAATAATGTATGGAAGAGGGTTAAGGTAAACATAGGGATTTGGCACGAGAGCATGCAGTAATACCCTTTGATAAACAAAGGAGAAAAATCAAAAATTATAGGGGATAATCTGTTGAGAGTATACCTGGTAAAGTGGTAGGTAGAGTTAAATTGTAAAAGCAATTAAGAGTAAACGGAAATAGGATAGCAGATGGAACAAGGATTCTTTAGGAAAGGTAGGGGTTTGGTGGACGCAGATTTTACCAGTGACAACATATGAAGTGAACCGTATTTAGATAAAGGCTAAAGAGGTTCTATGTGGCATTTATGGCTTTGGAAAAGGCGTAATGACAGGGTGGATCGGGGTCAATGTGGGCAGACGTTGCAAGTGTGTGTGGAGGAGGTAGGTTACTGAAAGCAGCTGAAGAGTTTTTACGAGGATAGGAGTGCTCAAGTTAGAGTATATAAGAGAAAGAGGGAAATTATTTCCCAGTAAAATAGCCTTAAAGACAAGGATGTTGTGATGTCACTGTGGTTTTGTTGTAATATATAATATAGATGGTATATGTACGAGACTTAAAATGAGCGAGGGTCTTGACAACGAGCGTGAGATATAAAAATAAACAATCACACACAGAAGTAGAGTTGTCACAGCTCCTCTTAGCTGATAGGACACTGTGGCTCTTGAAGAGATTCTGAAGAAAGTTGCAGAGATTGGTGGATGAATTTGGTAGGAGTGCAAAAGAAGAAAAATTAAAGGTGAATACAGAAGAGTACGGGGGAGGGGGGTAGGGAGGTTATGAGGAAAACAAAAATATTAGGTGTAAAGATTGAATATCAGATTGGAGGGAGAGAGTATGGAGGAGGGAACGTATTCCGATATTTGGGAGTGGACGTTCAGCAGATGGGTCCTAAGAAAATGAGGTGAATCATAGGATTGATGAGGGAAAAAGAGTGAGTGGTGCACTAGGGGAGTCTGTGGAGACAAAGAATCTTTGTCCCATTGAGCAAATATGGAATGTAATGAGAGTAATTTTCATACCAACGCTCTATATATGGGGGGTGTGAAGCATTGGGTGAAATGAATGTTGCAGCGATGATGAAAGGCTGGAGGCAGTGGAGAAGTCATAGTCTGAGGGCAATGTTGGTGGTGGAATTCTAATGCAGTAGAATTCGTCGTTTTGGAAAAGTTAGGAGGAGGTGCGGGATAACCAAACTGTTAGTCCAGCGCTGAGAAGGGATGTTAGAGGTGGTTCTCTGGACATGTAGAGAGAATAGCAAAACAAGAAATGACTTCAAGAGTGTATCATCTGTAGTAGAGATAGAAGGCTGGGATAGGGACGGCCAAGAAAAAAAGGTTTGGAGGGGAGGGGTAAAGGAGAGGTTTTGTGTGCGAGGGGCTTTGGACTTCCAGCAGCCAATGCGTGAAGTCGATGTTTGATATGAGTAATGGAGACAAATGGTTTGGGTTGTCGGGTACGCTGTTTGAGTGTGAGCAAAGAAACATTTATGAAGGGATTGCAGAGGAAATCGGCAGCCGGACTTGAGTCCTGGAGATGGAAGTACAGTGCCTGCACTCTGAAGAGGGTGTTAATGTTGAGATTTTTAAAAACTGTAGTGTACAGAGCAACCCTTCTGCAATACAGTGATGGAGTGATTGTTGGTGAAAGTTTTCTTCTCGGCCACCTGCCGTGTGGGAATCGGCCAGTGTGAAAAAAAATAAAAAATTACTCTCCTTCTTATTTCTCTCTTTAATGGAATATAATGATTTCTTAAACTGCCTAATCCCCTCTTTTGATTCGCCTATGTATGCCACTCTTTTGACAGGGAGATGTTTTAATCTATTGATCATTCCAATTTTGGATCATTTTTGTTTAGCTCTAATTTCCCTCCTCGGAACAAACGTGTCTGAGGGCACTAGACTATGCCTGAAAACGCCAACTCCGAAATTATCTGCATAATATTTACACCTTAGAACAGGACATCTGCGCTGCCCTCCAACCGCCTCCTCGCTGCAGCATTCAAAACCCAAGCTTCACACCCTATAAAAGAGTTGTTGATATCTACTAAACTTTCATACATTCCCATCTTTGCTTCCATAATAACGTATTTTTGTCTCCACATATACATATTATTGTTTATATATTATCACACTGACCGAATTCCCACCAAGAGCGCAAGGAGATGGCGCCCAAAAAGAAAAACTTTCCACCACATTCACTCCATCACTGACTCTGCCAGAAGGGTCATTGTTACACTACAGTTTTTTAAACTGCAACATAAACACCCCCTCCATCATAGTGCAGGCACTATACTTCCCAGTTCCAGGACTCAAGTCCAGCCTGCCGGTTCCCCTGAACCCCTTCATAAATTATTCACTTTGGCTCAACATCACCAACAGCACGTGTCCAAGTAATTAAAAAACCTTTGTCTCCAGTCACTCCTATCAAATACACTCACGACCTGCCTGCTGGAAGTCCAAAGCCCCTCGGCACACAAAACCTCACTTTACCCCCTCCTCCCAACCTTTCCTACCGACCCCTACCCCACTTCATTCCACTACAGACTGATACACTCTTGAAGTCATTCTTATTCGCTCCAATTCTCTCTACATGTCCAAACCACCTCAACAACCCTTCCTCAGCCCTCTGGACAACAGGTTTGGTAAATCCCGCACCTCCTCCAAACTTCCAATCTATGAATTCTCTGCATATATTCAAACCTACGCATTGCCCTCAGACATGACATCTCCACGGCCTCCAGCCTTCTCCTGCTGCACATTCATCACCCATGCTTACACACCCATATAAGAGCGTTGGAGTAAAACTATACTCTCATACTTCCCTCTTTGCCTCCAAGACAAAGTTCTTTGTCTCCACAGACTCCTAAGTGCACCACTCACACTATCTTTCCTCATCAGTTCTATGATTTCACCTCATCTTCATAGACCCATCCGCTGAACACGTCCACTCCCAAATATCTCAATACATTCACGATCCTGTTAGGAAACACATATGCAACAGTTTAGACAACTTTAATTCCGAAACGTTTTTCGCCTACACAGTAGGCTTCTCTAGTCGAAACAAGAACAGTAGGCAGGAACATTTAGGAGATGTGAAGACGATGTTAATCAGTCCATCACCATAAAGATCAGAATTAGGAGTTGTCATCCCTTCGTCCTGGAGAAGTTCAGTGTCCATAGTCAGAACGATCATCAATAGTTCCCTGACTATGGAACTGAATTCTCCAGGCCGAGGGACCTGACAACCTCAAATTCTAACGACTTTAAGGTGATGGACTAATTACATCGTCGTCACAGCTCTAATTTCCTGCTTCTCTGTATTCGACTGAAGAAGCCTACGTGTAGGCGAAACGTTTCTGGGGAAGATAGGGGAGCGTACTGTTGTATATGTGACCTTACCTAACAACCTGTCGGAGTGTATATCCAATTTGATGTTCACATCACCTCCTCCATAATCTCTCCCTCCAATCTGATAGCCAATCTTCATCACCTTATCTGTTTGTTATCCACACAAAAACCTCTCCTTATTTTTTACTCTTCCTTGTATATTCACTTTAATTTTCTCTGTTGCATACCCTACCAATTCATCCACCAATCACTGCAACTATCACTTCAAATCTCCAAGAGCACAGTGTCATCAGTCAAATAGCAACTGTGACTAATCCCCTTTGTGTGATTTATTTATCTTTTAACTCATGATCATCTTGCCAAGACCCTCGCATTACTCTCTTACAACCCATCCATAAATATATTAAACACCATGTGACAATCACACACCTTGTTCTAAGGGCCTACTTTTACTTGGAATAATCACCCTCTTTTCCTACATATCTAACTGAAGCCTCACTATCCTACGTAAAAACTCTTCACTGCTTTTCAGTAACCTACCATCCTCCACCATACACCCAACATCTCACACATTGTGAGCCCCCCTACTCCACTCCTGTCATTTGCGCTTTTCAAAATCCATAAAATGCCACAAAAACCTCTTTAGCCTTAGCTAAATAATGTTCCTTATATGTTACACAGGAAACACCGTTCCACACACCCCCTAACCTTTCCTAAACCCTCCTTGTTCATCTGCTATCCTATTCTCTGTCGGTGACTCCTGCAATTGTCGGTCATAATAACTCTACCATGCACTATTACCCAGGTATACTCAACAGACTTATTCCCCCTATAATTTTTTGCACTCTCTCTTTGTCCCCTTTGCCTTTATACAAGAGAACAATGCATGCTCTCTTTGGCCCCAAAATCCCAAGTACCTTACCCTCTTCCTAGCATTTAATTAAATAAGTGCACCAACCCTCCAAAAACGATCTCCCCACTCTGCTTTGAACATTTCTCTATCTTTTAGCCCATCAATCCCGGCTGCCCTAAAAAAGGGATTGGTACCTACTGCGCACAAACTCCACACACTCACAACGTGCTCTTTCCTCTCTCCTGAAGATGTTGTATTCGCCTGCCCAATACACGAATCACACTTCCCTATGCTTCATCAACATTTAACATTCCTCAAAATATTCCTCCATCTTCCCAATAATCGTCCGACAACTCTCCATTTAACCCTTGGGGTGGTGGTGGACTACGAGGACGCTGTACCGAGCGATTTTTCGACTAGTACGCATAAATTCTAGTGCCTCAAATCTCACAGGAAAAAGCTGATAAGCCTAGATTGTAGAAGGTCGGGGGTGTCTGTGCGCAGTAGGAAAAAAATCTGGGACCAGTGGGCATGTGGGGAATGCCACATAGTACACAATTTACCACGGAGCCTGTGGTAAGAAGTCCTCACTCCTCGCGAATGGGACACTTTGGGGACCCTGTGACAGTTCTAAATACATATGGAATGGGGACATGGAAGATGTGGTTCAAGGTTCTGTGAGGTTTACCGAACTAAAACCAATAATAATGGGTAATAGTGAGGAAAACCGACAACCAACCCCACTAGCCTTCCACCTCAGTGCTGGGCCATCTTGTTCAACGTTAATCATTGTACCAGAAAAGTACAAAGAAGGAAACTCAATGTTCAAAATCTCCAGCCTCAGATGTGAGCATTGTGAGGGTAGTGAATAGTGATTATGAACCACAAGCGTCTTCAAACATGTTCCAAGATGGAGGAGGTGGAGGAGGAGGGCAAGGAGGAGGAGGCAGAGAGGAGAGCCAAAGGAGGAAGGAGCAAGAGGAGGAGGAGGCCAGAAGGAGAGGCAAGAGAGAGGGAGCAGAAGAGGAAGAAGAAAGGAGGAGCGGAAGAAGAGAGGAGAGGAGGAGGAAGAAAAAGAGGAGAGGAGAAAAGAAGAATACTAATGATCACATATACCTAATAATAAAAACATAAATAATAAAATACATAATAATAATACATAAGTAATAATAATAGTAATAATAAAATTTCCACCCAGACATAACAAGATAAGGGGAGAAAACATCTGGATAAAGTGCTGACGTTTGATGAGGGTAGAGCTGAATGCCAAAAGATGAGATAAACATCACCTCCCTTTGGGTTTTGGCTGGGATACTAACATATCTGTTCTGGCTAATTGCCGTCCTGTCAACTCCCTGTCTATCTGTCAATCCACTAGCTTCTCAGTCTCAGAGATCCACAAACTGGTCATCACTTTTACTCACATCTTCAAGCAGAGTATAGACTTGTCTGGGTTTCTGGTTATTCCTAGGTAAATTTACTAAGGTATAAATTGATTTATGTGTATCATGTGAACAAGATAAAAAGACCAGATAAATGAGGGAGAAAGATAAGTAGATAGAATGAGGAAGGGAAAGCAGCATCCGCCCCCATTGTTTTGACAGGCGGGAGGGAGTGAGAATAGACAATATGTCAATTTGACAGCTGCCAGACTCCTGTAATCTTACACTATTTAGAGAAGGAGAAGGAGAAGAATAGGGAAGAGGAAGAAGAGGAGGAGGAGGAAAGGAGGAAGGAGAGGAAAGAAGTGTGAGTAGAGGAAGAGGAATAAGAAGGAGAGGAATAGTAGGAGGAAGATAGGGGAAGAGGAGGATGAGGAAAAGAGGAGGAGAGAGGAAAGTAGAGAAGAGGAAGAGTAGGAGGAAGAGGAAAGAAAGGGAAGAAAGGAGAGGATGGAAAAAGAGAAAGGAAGATAGGAAGAAAGGAAATAAGAGGAAGAGGAGGAGGAAAGAATATAGAGAAGATTAGGGGAAGGAGGAAGGAAAGGGGAGGAAGAGAATAAGAGGAGGAAAAGGAAAGAAGGAATATGAAGAGTAGGAGGGAAGTGAAAGATAGTAGAGAAGTGGAGAGTGGATGAGAGGAGGAAAGAGTAGATGTAGAGGAAGAGAAGAGAAGAGATAGAAAGTAGGGGGAAGAGAGGAAGAGTATGGAAGAGGAAGAAGAGGAGAGAGGTGAACACTAGTACCCTGTTACTGGAGTACCTAACATTCGTCTTCTATTTGTCGACTGTCAAGCTCCCTGTCTATCTTCTATCCGTCTAGCGCTCTGTCTCAGAGAGAGCCACAAGCTGTTCATCACTTTTTACTCACCATCTTCAAGCAAGTAATAGCACTGTTGTCTGAATTCATTGGGTTATCCTAGGTAATTTATACTATTTAACTTGTATTAATGTTACTGTGAGACAGAGATAGCAGACAGATAGAAGAGAGAGAGATCAGATTGAAAAGATAAATGAGGGAGAAAGATAAAACACCATTGTGTCTGACACCATGTATTCAAGTTCCACAGCTGCAAGAACTATAGGAATATGTTCAAGTGACTGTATAATGGTATAGAATTAAGAACAATAATAATAAACAATGTTTTTGTATTGTTTGATTTGTAAACCAAGTTTGTAAACAATATATGATAATTATGTTTGTGTGCTTATTGGTGTGTATACAACGAGTGTATATATGAGTATATTGCACACTTACTTTGGTCTCATAGGCCACATAAGATATGTGAAAAATAAAATATGAAAAAAACAACAAACCTTCAAATACAGTAAACTAAAGTTTACGGGTGAGCGCAGTCGCCGCTGTGTTGCGCATAACGCGGCTCATTGTCTGCAAACTTCATGCATCCATATCTCCTAAGTATTATGGTAAATTTTTTTTGTTTATCCCTATAAAGTTGACGAAAAAAAAAACTCTATTTTATCTTCATAAGAAAAAAAAATTTTTTCTTTTCGAAATTTGGCCAGACCCTGAAGAACGAGTTTTCTGGAAGGGCCTGTCGACCTCAAAGGGGTTAATAACTCTCCGCTTCCTATATTTAACTGACAAATCCAATTGTTCTCTAGGCTTCCTTTAGTTGATAATCTCACTCCAAAACGTTTTTTCTTATTTCAACCAAATTTTTGATAACATCTCACCCACACTCTCATTGCTCTCTTTTTACATGCTTCACTTACTCTCTTTAACCTCTCTCATTATCTCCTCCATATACCTTCCCTCCTTGCAACACATCTACTTGTAAAAGACTTCTGTATGCTAACAACGATGTATATTAGTAATGTTCTGTAATATAATTTTACAAATGTACAGGAACTTGACATGTTACTGAGGTGGATACAAAGCGTTTATTGGGGTCGGGGGAAACTGCTGATCAGTAGCTAGCTTGTGACGGCACTCACTCATCTTGGCTGTGTCTCGTGCCACCAACATCTTATTGACACATATAATTGGTACACGGTATCATAGGTTACAGGTACACCGGATACATTGTACTAATTGTATAGGGTCCCATATTGTGCAGGTACCATATGGTACAGGTACCATATGGCACAGGGACAATTGGCCCAGGGTACCAATGGCACAGGGTACCATAAAGGCACAGGTACCATGTTACATGGGTTACCTTACAGTACAGGTACACCATATGGTACAGATACACGGATTCCTTTATGGAAATATCGTCACCCTGAACTTTTTTTGGGTTATCCTAGGGTGGGGATTTTATACCAATGCTTCTATGAATTGGAAATCGAATGCGTAACTGATTTTGTATGTATATTCCTGATATAAACTTAATCAAGTGATAACATTGTGGCTTACCATAAAGTATTTATATTTAGTACACAATCCAGTTACAATAATTAACATACATAGCAAGCATATTTTTGGAGAACCGAGGATAAAACCCAAAAAAGAGTCAGACAGACTTAATTCCATTAGGGTTTCTATTACGTACCGATGTACCATAAGGTATAATGTAACCATAAGGGGGGGGGGGGGGGGGGGGGGGGGGGGTGCACAATGATACCTTATGTAAATTGTGTCAATGAGTACCAGTGTACCATAGGATACCATTGTACTCATATGTACAATGGTACAAAGGTACCAAAATTGTATTACGTAGACAATGCAGGGTGCGTCACTAGCACGTGAAAGACCATACAACAATATGGTGTCAAGGGGCCCGAGACTGTTCAACTGAGCCGCTCCAGCATACATAAGGTGGGATTACCCAACAGACCCCCTGTCAGTCTCTAAGCTGATACTGTGACAGAGAGCGCACCTAAAGCGGTTCCTGACCAGGCCGGGCTGTGGCTCGTACGTTTGGTTTGCGAGCATCCAGCAGCAACAGCCTTGGTTGACAGGCTCTGCTCCCCCACCAGGAGCCCTGGTCACAGACTGAGGGCCGCGTGAAGGCGTTGACCCCCGAACTCTCTCCAGTAACCCAGGTATAGTGTTCAAACATAGAATTTACTCTTCAGCTCCACTTCTCATGCCTATAGAACTGAAAGTTAAGAACACATATGCAACATCTTGGATATCTTTCTAATTAGACGTTTCGCCAACCAGTGGCTTTATCAATACAGATTCTAGACATAATAGGAAGACAAGTAAGAACTAATATAAAAAAGATGAGTTAAATCCGTCCGTCTCGCCTTGGAGTTAGTGTTCACAACTTCGGTGGGGGGAGAGTAATCTGTGAGAAAAGGCAAGAAGACTGGCGTTATGCTACGCTCATGATAGGGACGCAGCAGACAGGGCTTTCACTGGTAGGCGGATCCCCCCAGTGGGAGTAGGTCCTTCCCAAAGAGATGGGTCTATTGCAGAAGCCGAGAAATGAAGTCTGGTAAGGTCTCCGCTGAACCAAGATTCCATGATGTTGCAAGCAGTGGCTGACAAGTTGTGCAAGAAAGGATAAAAGTACCGACAATATGAAAGTTAAGACACATATGCAACATCTGGATATCTTATAGTAGACGTTTCGCAACCAGTGGCTTTAACAATACAACTAGGACATAATAGGAAGAACATTAGAACTATATACCAGAGATGAGGGTAATCAGCCCTCCCCTCGGCCTTGAGTTGTGTTCACAAGCATCGTGGGGAGGAGAATCTGAGAAAAGGCAAGAAACTGGCGTTCTATACTCGTCAGTGATAGGGACTGGCAGCAAGACTATGGCAGTCACTGGTAGGCGGTGATATCCCCCAGTGGAATAGTCTCCTTCCAAAGAAGATGGGTTCTAGTTTGTCAGAAGCCGTGAAGAAGGTCTTGTAAATGTCCTCTGAACCAAGATTCCATGATGTTGCTGGGGTCTGACAAGTTTGTGCAAGAAAGGTATAAAATACCGACAATATGAAAGTGTTAAACACATATGCAAAAGCATCGGATATTCTTATTGTAGACGGTTCTGTCCCAAACCAGTGGCTTTATCCATAACAGATTCTAGGACATAAAAGGAAGACAGTAAACTATACACAAAAGATGAGTAATCATTCGCGTCGGGCCTTAGGAGTTTGTGTTCACAGCATTCGTCTGGTGATGGAGAATCTGGAGAAAAGGCAAGAAACTGCGGTTATATTCGCGTCCAGTGATAGGTGACGGGCAGCAGACGAGGGCAGTCACGGTAAGGCGGATTCCCCAGTGGAAGTAGGTCCTCCCAAAGAGATGGTTAGTTGCAAAGGCCGTGAAGAAGGTCTTGTAGACTGTCCTCTAGAACAAGAGTCCAGGAATCTTGAATCTTGGTTCAGAGGACTTTGTTCTTATTTGGTGTAGTGGGGGGGGGGGTGTTGTTAATTGTGACTACTTCAGGAAGACCTGCTTACGCGGCCGGCAACTTTCTCCGATCTTCTTGGTAAGTGACCGCATTCTTCCACTGGTGATTCCGCCTACCAGTGACTGCCCTCTCGGCGCCCGTTCCCTATCCACTGACGCGAATATAACCGCCAGTCTTCTTGCCTTTTCTCAATACCCTCCACCACGAGCGGTGACACTAACTCCAAGGCCGAGGGACGGATTACTCATCTGTTGTAAAGTTACATACTGTCTTTCACTATTATGTCCCAGATCTGTATTGCTAAAAGCCACTGGGTGTTGTGAAACGTCTCTACAATAAAGATATCCAATGTTGCATAGTGTCTTAACTTTCATATTGTCGGTATTTTATACCTGTCTTGCACCAACTTGTCAGACACTTGTAAAAAACAACATCATGGAATCTTGGTTCAGAGGATCATCTACAAACCTTCTTCACGCTTCTGCAACTAACCCATCTCTGGGAAGATTCCTACTCCACTGGGAATCCGCCTCCCAGTGACTGCCTCGTCTGCTGCCAGTCCCTACCCACAGACGGCGTATTATAACCGCCAGTCCGTCTTTGCCTTTTCTCAGAGTCCTCCTCCACCACGAGCTGTGAACACTAACTCCAAGGCCGAGGGACTGATTACCTCATACTTTGTTTGTATATAAGTATCTACTGTCTTCCTATTATAGTCCTATAATCTGTATTGAAAACTCCACTGAGTTTGGCGAAACGTCTACAATAAGATATCCAGATGTTGCATATGTGTCTTAACTTTCATAATTGTCGGTATTTTAAAACTTCTTGCACAGTCTTAAAACTTTGTAAGTTGTGAAAAGAGAGGTCAATTCACCCGGAGAGTGAGTGGAGATGAGAGCTTCCTTGCCGCCTGGCACGTGAACAAAGCTATCTTTGTGCATACCCAACAATGCCATGTGGGGGCGTCCAGATTTATTCTATATTGCAAACTACCACCGAGACCCTTTTTTTCTTCTTTGTTTTCCCCCCTTGTTTTGTCAATTAAATTTTTTATTTTCCATTTTTTTTTTTATATCTCTCAGATGTGGCCACCAGCCTTCTTGCTTTAAATTGACGGTCATTGTTATCATAATCAGTCAGACATCAGTAAGTCAACATGTCATTTCATTGTCACCAATAAGTCATCAGTCTTAGTTAGTCAGTCAAGTCATTCAGTCAGTCTCAGTCAATCACATCAGTAAGTCCGTCAGTCATTCAGTACGTCAATCAATCATTCAGGAAGTCAGTCAAGTCATTCAGTAAAGTCAAGTCAAGTCACTCAGTACAGTCAAGTAAAGTCGAAGTCAGTCAAGTCACATGCATTAAGTCATTCAGTCATTCAGTAAGTCAGTTAAGTCACTCAGTAAGCCAGTCAAAGTTACTCAGAATCATCAAGTCATTCAGCAGTCCTGTCAGTCCCCAAACTCTTGCGTTACCCTTATTCTGTGTGACAGAAGTAACACTTCAGTATACAGCTCCAGGTTATTCTCTTGTCTATTTTTTTTTTTTTTTCAACGAGTTCGGCCATCTCCCACCGCGCTAGGTGACCCACCAAGGCAGGTGACCCCCGAGGCAGGGTGACCCACAGAGAGGCAGGATGACCCCACTGCGGCAGGGTTGACCCACCGAGAGGCAGGGTGACCCACCGAGGCAGGGGCCCACCAACAGCGGGTGACCCACCGAGCAGTGACCCACGAGGAATGAACACTCGTGGCTGGGTGACCCACCGAGGCAGGGGGACCCCACAGAGCAGGGTGACCCACCAAGCAAGGGGTCACCTGAGACAGGGTGAACCCAAAGAAGAAATCCCCAAATGAAAATACTTTTCATCAGTCATCACACTTTCACCTCACTCACACATAATCACTGTTTTTTGCAAGGGCTCAAGACAACAGTTTTAGAAGCATATATGTACTCATACTAAAGATACACAACTCCTCCCTCCAAACGCTATATCGCAACAACCCCCCTTCAGATGCAGCATACATTGTATTTTTTTTTTATTCTTTCCATTTCCCGGACTCAATCTGGCTAAATAAAAAAACTGTTTCTCCTTTGAATCCCTAACCTAAATATTAAACCTGCTCACACTCCACAGAGCGACAGTCCCAAAGACCATTCGCCGCCATTCACTCTATCGAACAAGCTCACCACGGGGGGGGCCGCCTGAAGTCAAAGCCCTCGCCCACAAAACCTCCCAAAACCCCTCTTTCCAACCTTTTTGAGGACGCGACTCCGCGTACCCCGCCTTCCTTCCCCTACAGATTTTAATCTCTCCATGTCATTTTACTTGATCTGATTCTCTGTAAAGACCAAACCACCTCAACAACCCTCTTCAGCCCTTTCTGACTAACACGTTTATTACATAAGAAACATAAAACATAAGAAAGAAGAAACACTGCAGCAGCCTACGGACCCATCAGAGCAGTCCATGTCCCCCCCCGGATGAGACAATGACCACCCCCGGAATTTAATCACTTGACCCACCCCTCTGGCATCCCCACCAAGATGAAGCACTGTTACCAGACCAGCAGCACAAAGCTAGTCGTGTCCAACTCACACCCAACCCACACTCACTATCTGTGATTTAATCTAACCATTTTTAAAACTACACAACGTTTTAGCATCAATTCCCTTACTCGGAGCTTGTTCCACTCACCACAATACCAATTACAAACCAGTGCTTTCCTATACCTTCCGAATCTAAATTTTCCTACTGAAACAAAATGCTGCAAGTCCCTGTCTTGGAGCGGGAGAAATTTGCAGTCACACTATTTACATCCCCTTTATTTAATCCTGATTTCCATTTATTACACCTCGATCATATCCCCCTAATTCTACGCCTTTTGAGAGAGTGCGCAGATCAGGCCCTCAGTCTATCCTCATAGGAATATTTCCTGATACATGGGATCATCTTTGCATCCTCCTTTGTAACATTTTCCATACATTTAATATCCATTCTGTATTACGGTGACCAGAACAGCATCATAGTCTAAAAAGAGACCTAACCAGGATATATGGAGAGTTGAATAACACGAGGACTTCTATTAATTATACCTCTAGTATGAACCAAAATCTGTTAGGCTTTATTGCAAACACTAATGCACGGTGTCTTGGTTTAAGGTTACAGCTAACCAGAATCCTCCACCCACACCTAAATCGCCATTCCCAATCATGTATAATAAAATCTACATCTATTTAGTTTATTGTGGCTGGTTATTTAACTGTGCCAACATTTAGAAACTTTCATTTGTCATAGATAAACTGCAGTCTGCTCACCTTCCTCCGACCATTGCGTCAGTCTATTCAAAATCATCCTGAAGTGCTCTAATGCCTCATTAGAATGGAATTGATGCTATTTTGTGTCATCAGCAAATTTTTGATCCTTATGTGCGCTATTTATTCTCTCATACTATGTCATTTATGTTAAATTGTGACAACAATGGCCCAAACACTGGCCCCTGAGGAACACCGCTTGTGACGATGCCCCTTTTCGGATTTCCCCCATTTTTATCAAACTCTCTGCTGTCCTAATTTGTCACCATGCCCTCTCTACCCAGGAAAAAATTTCTCCTCTATTCCGTGTGCCTAAAAAAAAAAAGTTTCCCTCAAGCAACCGTTGTGGAACACTATAGAAATCGTACTGAAGTCCATATACACAATAATCATATTCATTACCAAGAGCTACCGCCTCAAACACCTTAGTGAAAATGTAATTAACGTTCGTAAGACAGGAACGCCTTTGGTAAAACCATGTTCATATCATTAATCAATCTGATGTGCTTGTCAAGATGCTACGAATTACTTTCGGCAAATATTGATTCCATAAAATTTTTTCCCACTATGGAGGTAAGCTTAATGGTCTATAGTTCGAAGCCAAGGACCCTCCACCTGGCCATGTAAATAGGTATTACATTTGCCATTTTCACTTATCATCACTATGCCATGTTAAGTACATCTGAAAAGATTACCAAAGGTAGCTAAGCTCCTCTTACCATACCTTAACACCCTTGCAAACAGTTCATCAGGTCCTGGGGATTTGTTGGTTTTAGTTTCTCCAATTGTCTAGACCATGTCACTAGTTACTGCCAATTGTACATTAGTTTTTATTACATCCTGTTCTACATATTCATTATTGCAGAGGCCTGTCACAGACTGGCCCATGGGGGCGTTGACCCCCGAACTCTCACCATGGTAAACTCCAGTATATCGCAGTATTTCCTGAGGTGAAAACTGAAGGAATAGTATTTTAAATTTCTCACAAAATATCCTATCACTGTCAGTGATCTGACCAGGTTACTCTAATTGGGCCTAATCTTGAGTCCCAATCTTACTTCTTATACGTAGAAAGAACCCTTTGGTTTAGTCTTCGAAGTCCCTTGCGACCTTAGCCTCATAATCCCTAGGTAGTAGGTTTGGTAACAGCAACCACCCCCCAGAAGTACTACCATCCTGGCAGATACTGTGAAACACAAACCTGTAACTGTTTTGGGCTTGATGGTAGATTGCTGGTTTCTTTCTGTCTCATAAACACCTAGATAACAGGATATCTTGCTATCTACATACACTTTCGTCACACTTCACAGCACGCAACATGCATATATATATACATACATCTAGTTTTTTTCTCCTTTTATCAAATTAGCTCTTGTTCTTCTTTATTTCTTCTATTGTCCATGGGGAATTGAAAACAAATCTTTCCTCCTTAAGGGCCATGGCTTGTCGTATAAGCGACTAAAATGCCGGAGCAATGCTAGTTAACCCTCTCCTGTAGACATTTACTAAAAAACAGAAGAAGAAAAACTTTATAAAACTGGATGCTTAATGTGCTGATGTAGGCGATGAAAAGAAACAGACTGATTGCTGAATGTTATGAATGAAAAGACGTTGGATGTCCTGGCCCTAAGCGAAACAAAGCGGACGGGGGTAGAAGTTCAGTGGGGGGAAATAAAATGGGATTAAATCAGGAGTAACTGAAGAGTTAGAGGCAAAGAAGGGGTAGCAGTAATGTTATAATATCAGTTATTGGAATATAAAAGAGAAATATGAATGTGTAAATTCAAGAATTATGTGTATTACAGGTAAAGTTGGAGCGAAAGTGGGTCATAATACGCGTGTATGCACCTGGAGAGAGAGGAATTGCAGAGGAAGAGGACAGAGCAGATTTTTGGAGATATAGTGAATTATAGGAGCCTTAGAACCACGTGAGAGAGTAATTGTGGTAAGGGACCGTGAATGCTAAAAGTATGAAGAAACAGTTTAGAGATGGGTGTGTAGTAATTGGGGGGTCCAGGTGTAAATGATAATTGGGCGCCCTTGATTGGAACTTTATAGAAGAGGGGTTAAGTTATAGGAATACCAAATTTGTAAGAAAATAGAGGAAAAATAAGTATACAAGATAAGATGTAGTGGCAAATGACAGTATTTGTTGTGATATCTGTGCGTTGGTAGATAGAATAGACTGTTGAGTAGACTCCAGATGTACAGTTTTATTAGAGGGGCCACAGATATATCACGCCCTTTATTCCTAGTTGTAAGCTACACAGAGAGTAAAAAGTAGATGGATACAAGGAGAATAGAAGCAGTCAGGGAAGAGAAGGTGAAGTTTATAAACTAAAAGAAGGAGGCAGTAGGGTAAGAATAAACAGCTATATGGAGGATAGTAAGGGCTAATGAGAGCCTAGGCAATGGGTCTGAAAGTATGGGAGGTTTAAACATGTAGTGTTTAGAGTGTTCAGCAGATAAGTGTGGTGGTACAGGAAAAGTGTGGGTCAGGAGGGAAGATGTAGCGATTAGGTGGAAATCGATTGATGTAAAGAAGAAGTATGGAGAAAACGTTACAATATGAGAATTTTTTACAAAGTAGAAGTGATGCAAGTAGGGAAAGAGTATATGAGAAAAAGAGAGGGTTGAAGAGAGAGGGGAGAATCAATGTAAAGAAGAGAGCAAATAAGAGAGTGAGTGAGTACTGTTATCAACAAATTTTGTGAACAAAAGAAAAAGTTTGAGTGAGATTTAACAAGTATAAGAAAGCCTAGAAACAAATGATTTGTCATTAAAAATAGGAGAGAGAGAGTTATTAAATGGAGAGTTAGAGGTATTTGGGAAGATGGAGGGAATATTGTTGAGGAATTGGTTAAATGTGAATGAAGATAGGGAAGCAGTGATTTCGTGTATAGGCAAGGAGAATAACATTTTGTAGGAGTCTGAGGAAAACTCATTGTGAGTGTGGGGGAAAGGGTTCGTGAGGCAGTATGTAAAATGAAAGGGGGTAAGGTGTCACTGGGAGGATGGGAGATGGGAAAAAGGATAGAAAATGTTAAAAGCAGTGGATATAGTTTTTTTAGGAGTGGTTGTGCAATTTATTTAATAATGTATGGAAGAGGGTTAAGGTAAACATAGGGATTTGGCACGAGAGCATGCAGTAATACCCTTTGATAAACAAAGGAGAAAAATCAAAAATTATAGGGGATAATCTGTTGAGAGTATACCTGGTAAAGTGGTAGGTAGAGTTAAATTGTAAAAGCAATTAAGAGTAAACGGAAATAGGATAGCAGATGGAACAAGGATTCTTTAGGAAAGGTAGGGGTTTGGTGGACGCAGATTTTACCAGTGACAACATATGAAGTGAACCGTATTTAGATAAAGGCTAAAGAGGTTCTATGTGGCATTTATGGCTTTGGAAAAGGCGTAATGACAGGGTGGATCGGGGTCAATGTGGGCAGACGTTGCAAGTGTGTGTGGAGGAGGTAGGTTACTGAAAGCAGCTGAAGAGTTTTTACGAGGATAGGAGTGCTCAAGTTAGAGTATATAAGAGAAAGAGGGAAATTATTTCCCAGTAAAATAGCCTTAAAGACAAGGATGTTGTGATGTCACTGTGGTTTTGTTGTAATATATAATATAGATGGTATATGTACGAGACTTAAAATGAGCGAGGGTCTTGACAACGAGCGTGAGATATAAAAATAAACAATCACACACAGAAGTAGAGTTGTCACAGCTCCTCTTAGCTGATAGGACACTGTGGCTCTTGAAGAGATTCTGAAGAAAGTTGCAGAGATTGGTGGATGAATTTGGTAGGAGTGCAAAAGAAGAAAAATTAAAGGTGAATACAGAAGAGTACGGGGGAGGGGGGTAGGGAGGTTATGAGGAAAACAAAAATATTAGGTGTAAAGATTGAATATCAGATTGGAGGGAGAGAGTATGGAGGAGGGAACGTATTCCGATATTTGGGAGTGGACGTTCAGCAGATGGGTCCTAAGAAAATGAGGTGAATCATAGGATTGATGAGGGAAAAAGAGTGAGTGGTGCACTAGGGGAGTCTGTGGAGACAAAGAATCTTTGTCCCATTGAGCAAATATGGAATGTAATGAGAGTAATTTTCATACCAACGCTCTATATATGGGGGGTGTGAAGCATTGGGTGAAATGAATGTTGCAGCGATGATGAAAGGCTGGAGGCAGTGGAGAAGTCATAGTCTGAGGGCAATGTTGGTGGTGGAATTCTAATGCAGTAGAATTCGTCGTTTTGGAAAAGTTAGGAGGAGGTGCGGGATAACCAAACTGTTAGTCCAGCGCTGAGAAGGGATGTTAGAGGTGGTTCTCTGGACATGTAGAGAGAATAGCAAAACAAGAAATGACTTCAAGAGTGTATCATCTGTAGTAGAGATAGAAGGCTGGGATAGGGACGGCCAAGAAAAAAAGGTTTGGAGGGGAGGGGTAAAGGAGAGGTTTTGTGTGCGAGGGGCTTTGGACTTCCAGCAGCCAATGCGTGAAGTCGATGTTTGATATGAGTAATGGAGACAAATGGTTTGGGTTGTCGGGTACGCTGTTTGAGTGTGAGCAAAGAAACATTTATGAAGGGATTGCAGAGGAAATCGGCAGCCGGACTTGAGTCCTGGAGATGGAAGTACAGTGCCTGCACTCTGAAGAGGGTGTTAATGTTGAGATTTTTAAAAACTGTAGTGTACAGAGCAACCCTTCTGCAATACAGTGATGGAGTGATTGTTGGTGAAAGTTTTCTTCTCGGCCACCTGCCGTGTGGGAATCGGCCAGTGTGAAAAAAAATAAAAAATTACTCTCCTTCTTATTTCTCTCTTTAATGGAATATAATGATTTCTTAAACTGCCTAATCCCCTCTTTTGATTCGCCTATGTATGCCACTCTTTTGACAGGGAGATGTTTTAATCTATTGATCATTCCAATTTTGGATCATTTTTGTTTAGCTCTAATTTCCCTCCTCGGAACAAACGTGTCTGAGGGCACTAGACTATGCCTGAAAACGCCAACTCCGAAATTATCTGCATAATATTTACACCTTAGAACAGGACATCTGCGCTGCCCTCCAACCGCCTCCTCGCTGCAGCATTCAAAACCCAAGCTTCACACCCTATAAAAGAGTTGTTGATATCTACTAAACTTTCATACATTCCCATCTTTGCTTCCATAATAACGTATTTTTGTCTCCACATATACATATTATTGTTTATATATTATCACACTGACCGAATTCCCACCAAGAGCGCAAGGAGATGGCGCCCAAAAAGAAAAACTTTCCACCACATTCACTCCATCACTGACTCTGCCAGAAGGGTCATTGTTACACTACAGTTTTTTAAACTGCAACATAAACACCCCCTCCATCATAGTGCAGGCACTATACTTCCCAGTTCCAGGACTCAAGTCCAGCCTGCCGGTTCCCCTGAACCCCTTCATAAATTATTCACTTTGGCTCAACATCACCAACAGCACGTGTCCAAGTAATTAAAAAACCTTTGTCTCCAGTCACTCCTATCAAATACACTCACGACCTGCCTGCTGGAAGTCCAAAGCCCCTCGGCACACAAAACCTCACTTTACCCCCTCCTCCCAACCTTTCCTACCGACCCCTACCCCACTTCATTCCACTACAGACTGATACACTCTTGAAGTCATTCTTATTCGCTCCAATTCTCTCTACATGTCCAAACCACCTCAACAACCCTTCCTCAGCCCTCTGGACAACAGGTTTGGTAAATCCCGCACCTCCTCCAAACTTCCAATCTATGAATTCTCTGCATATATTCAAACCTACGCATTGCCCTCAGACATGACATCTCCACGGCCTCCAGCCTTCTCCTGCTGCACATTCATCACCCATGCTTACACACCCATATAAGAGCGTTGGAGTAAAACTATACTCTCATACTTCCCTCTTTGCCTCCAAGACAAAGTTCTTTGTCTCCACAGACTCCTAAGTGCACCACTCACACTATCTTTCCTCATCAGTTCTATGATTTCACCTCATCTTCATAGACCCATCCGCTGAACACGTCCACTCCCAAATATCTCAATACATTCACGATCCTGTTAGGAAACACATATGCAACAGTTTAGACAACTTTAATTCCGAAACGTTTTTCGCCTACACAGTAGGCTTCTCTAGTCGAAACAAGAACAGTAGGCAGGAACATTTAGGAGATGTGAAGACGATGTTAATCAGTCCATCACCATAAAGATCAGAATTAGGAGTTGTCATCCCTTCGTCCTGGAGAAGTTCAGTGTCCATAGTCAGAACGATCATCAATAGTTCCCTGACTATGGAACTGAATTCTCCAGGCCGAGGGACCTGACAACCTCAAATTCTAACGACTTTAAGGTGATGGACTAATTACATCGTCGTCACAGCTCTAATTTCCTGCTTCTCTGTATTCGACTGAAGAAGCCTACGTGTAGGCGAAACGTTTCTGGGGAAGATAGGGGAGCGTACTGTTGTATATGTGACCTTACCTAACAACCTGTCGGAGTGTATATCCAATTTGATGTTCACATCACCTCCTCCATAATCTCTCCCTCCAATCTGATAGCCAATCTTCATCACCTTATCTGTTTGTTATCCACACAAAAACCTCTCCTTATTTTTTACTCTTCCTTGTATATTCACTTTAATTTTCTCTGTTGCATACCCTACCAATTCATCCACCAATCACTGCAACTATCACTTCAAATCTCCAAGAGCACAGTGTCATCAGTCAAATAGCAACTGTGACTAATCCCCTTTGTGTGATTTATTTATCTTTTAACTCATGATCATCTTGCCAAGACCCTCGCATTACTCTCT